GCGCGCCCTCCCTGCACCTGACACTGACAGCTAAAGTGATCCCGGAATCACCGCATGCCTCACCCCGACCTTCTGAACTGCGTTTCTCAGTCCTGTATCCAGTTGTGACCTTGGATCGTCCTTGAGCGGAAAGTTGCAGACATCACCACCATCCTTTTGTGACCCAGGAGGTGGACATTCGCACGTCTCGCGCCTATGCCGTGGAACCACAGCGGGGCCCGGCGCTTTGGCCAAAAGCAAAACCATCGGAATTTTCAATGATTGAAGGCGCTACTTGTCGGTAAAAACAAAGCTTGGGAGCTCTAACGCTCCAGGATCGTCAGTTAGTCTCCCGCTGTTATGCCTAGAATTGCTGGGCCAACTCCCCAAAACCACTGGACTCTCTGGCTGAACTTTGCCAAACTCCCCGGAACCACTGGACTCTCTGCTCGGAGGAGTCGGGGCTGCCCACTTTGCTGCTCTTGTGCGAAGGTGTGCAGGGGGTTTTGGGGGTCGATACTCCAGGATTCAATTTCCATCGCTTCTGAGCGAGATGCCTCCTTGAACTCACAAGCTGGCTACAAGGGCACTCTAGAGTACCGATATTGACTGTAGCCACAAATGAAGGAAGGATAGGCCGCAGAAGTGAGGGGCTCGTTTTGCAAGCTTGCCTGTTTCGGAGCCTGGCGTTCTTCTACGAGGGAGCGCAGCGACTTTTCAGCGTCGACGGGAGGGTTGTCTCAGACAGGTGTCAATGCTGCCATGGTGACCCATACGCTGCTTGTGGCGGATGCCGCCAAGCCGTACTTCGAGGTGCGTGGTGGGTGACCGCATGTCGCGCTCGACCTTAGAACCCGTCCCCGCCTGTCTTGCGTACTGAACGACGCCTTGTCATCATTCAAGTACCCAGAGAGCCCAATACCCTTAATTAAAGGAATATATACTTTAAATCATAACATTAAGGCCCCCTATAACTTGAAGTATACATTCCTTATCTGAGGAGTATCGGGCTCTCTGGGTAAGCAGGAAAGTCTCTGCGCTGCTCAACGTGCCTTTAGTCGTGGAAGGCCGATCGTCTTGTCAGCTGCAGGTACTTGCAAATCGGTTCAGAAGTTCAGACCCCGGTTTAGGGTCTAGGGTTTAGGGTCATATATGAGCATGATGCTCCGGCCATGTGCAAGGTACATCTGGCATCGTTTGGGGGCGCTTACATCAAACTGCTGAAGGAGTCAGGCCATATGCACATTGACACACAGTCATAGAGACATACGTACGTACGTGCGGGCTTACATACGTACATATCTACATTGACATACAGTCATACGTACATACTTGCATACATACATACATACATACATACATACGTACATATGCAAGTACATGTATACATATGTTTGTAATATAGTATGCATGCACACATACATGCATGCATGCTTTTTTGGGCTGGAAGCTTCAACATGTCCAGTCGGCATGACAGGATACCCGCATTACGCTCTCATGCCGCAGTGGACAGAGGAGCAGGCAGGCTCAACTGTCACGGCACCTAAGGGATGTTTGACTCAGGCTTGGCCGTGCATCCGTGCAAGTTTGACTTCGCACGCAAGTTCCTAAAGAGCAGGTAGCCTGTTTCAGAATGATCGCTGCAGCCCATGCTGTGATTCGATGTCCGGAGCCAGGAGTGGAAATCCTTTATTGGGCACCGGAGGAATGCCAGTTGAGAGAAGTGAAGCGTGCCCCCAAGCAAAAGACCCAAGTCTTACCCGGTTGAATCTCCACGAACCCGCTCCCGACCCCAGAGGCTCAGAGCATGAGATATGGGACTCTCCGAAAATTAGGGTACCTTATTTTGGGGGTCCTTATAATAAGGATCCTACTATTTAGGGTACTCTATTGGGGGTCCCCTATTTTCGGAAACCCCCAATTCCTAAACCCTTAACCCTACACCCTAAACCCTAAACCCCAAACCCGAATACTATGTTAGGGTCATTTTCGGTCCCCTCTTTTCGGAAAGCCCCCATCTGGGACCATAATATAGGACCCTAAATAGTAGGATCCTTATTATAAGGACCCCAAAATAAGGTACCCCTAACTTTCGGAAAGTCCCCCATTCCTACACCCTAAACCCTAAACCCCAAACCCTAACACTACATTAGGGTCATTGGGGTCCCCTAACTTTCGGAAAGTCCCCCATCTCTTTCGCCAGACGGCTCTGCTCTATGCGGCCGACCAATTCGAGTCGCTCTCCTCGCCCTGGACTCGCGAGGCCTTCAAAGCGCCTTTCGGATAGACCCGGAGAGCCCAATATACCCCTTAAAATAAGGAATATATATACCTTAAATTCTAGGGGCCTGAATATTATGACTTAAGGTATATTCCTTAATTAAGGGGTATTGGGATCTCAGGGTACCTCACATCAAGAGGTGTTTTTAAACTCTGTCCTAGACTCGATTCCAGGTCCTCCAGCAGCAGATCGACTCCTCGCTGGCCCCTTGGACGTAGGAGAGTCGGGATAGGCTCTGATTTGCAACTGGGTGTCCTTGCTGACCTCAGAACCCGTGCCCGAGATACACCTGATTTTGCGTCCTGATTTGCCGACATCACTCCTCCTGACTTCCAGGCCCTCTACAAGAGAGTTCGTCCTGCCGCAGTTGTCTCTTTCTTCGTGCTGTCCGCGAGCCTCTCGGCTTATTCCTTGCATGTATCAGGAGACTGCTCTTCGGTTGAACGCAGGGCGGCTCAGGGTTCAGAGATAGCAAAAACGAGAAGATCTGGCAGCCCAAGCCTTACATCGCAGAGCCATGTAGCATCCCACAAGCCCCACCGCCTGAGTCCAAAATGCACATCACGGTGCACTGTAGCTGGACAGTGAAAGCACGCACGGGACTGTGGCGGAAGCCCAATTTTGGGGAGGCGGTGACACGAGCCCAAGGCATGCACGGAAGTGTGGCGGAACCACCATTTCCAGAAAATGTGGCGGAAAGCGAGTTGCACCTCTGCTAGTTTGGCCGCACCAACGAGTCCCGAGGAGCCAAGCGTGGTATAGTGTGGCCGCGCCAGGATTTCCACTGTTTGAAGGCCATAGCACAGGGCTGCGGCAGGAACAAGAATTACAGAAAGCTGCACGGTGCCATGGCGGGCACAAGACTTAAAGAAAATCCACCGTGCCTGCAGTGCGCGGAAGCCTCAGCAACCAACTCCACACGTGACGCACATCTTTGCGCAAAACACAGCCACGATTTCGCGCATGGATGGATGGATGCTAAGCAGGGAGTAGGCAAGGCGTGCACAAGTTTGCATCCCCAACTACCGCAGGGCTGAGAACCAGATTGGGGTGTGCAGGCTGCTTGGAGCCGCCATGGTTCTCACTGTGTGACCTCTGTTGGTGTCTTTAGGTTGCCTTGAGGAAGTCGTGGAAAATCAGGGCTCTTCTGCGCACCATAAGCCGTACCGCTCCGGTCTTTGGTTTGCTCCCGAGGCCTCTCGGCCCGGATTGCTCGGATCCCACTTTTCGTCGACATGAGCGCCTTGGCCGAGAGACTTCGACTTGGGAGTTTCGGAAAATAAGGGGTTCCTTATATTGGGGTCCTTATAATAAAGATCCTACTCTTTAGGGTACTATATTAGGGTCCCCTATTTTCGGAAACCTCCACTTCGACACAGACACCTTGAGGGCTGTTTGAGGTCTCGGGGGCTCGGAGTGATGCCGCTTGGTGCACCGGTAGTTTCTTGCGAGCCTAAGAGACTCCGCCTGCTTGAGTTTGGGCACAGGAAATGGGGGGTGGGTTTCCGAAAAGAGGGGACCCTAATATAGTAGGATCCTTATTATAAGGACCCCAAAATAAGGTACCCTAATTTTCGGAAAGTCCCAAATGGTGAGGGGATGAAGGGATCGCTTCGAATCCCCGTGGACCAAAGCGGGCCGCTTGAAGCCAAGCTATACAGAGCAGGTGAACTTCTAAACTCTAAACGGAGCAGGTTCTGAAACTGAATGTCAGATTGCTCCTGGAGGCAGAGGGATTAGCATCAACATCCTCATTTGCAGGAGTCCATGGTAGAAGCTCGGTTTTAAGCACGAGTTGCGAGACTGCGACATGCACAGTGGTTCCTTGGGATCATCGAGAATTCTCCATAAAAAGGGATCCGTGAGTAGGATCCCTCTTCCCTGGTGTTCCGGCACAGTTAGACCAGAGAGCCCAATACCCCTAAAATAAGGAATATACCTTAAATGCCTTAAATTACAGGGGCCTTAATATTATGGTTTAAGGTATATTCCTTCACAGGGAGTTTGATCCAAGGGTTTCCGACCCCGGCATCTGTGAACGGTGATTTTAACAGTAATGTTAGGGGCCATAAACAATTAGAATAAGGTTTTGGGGTCTACTCTGCTATACTTCTAATCAGGAGCCCCCAAACTAAGGCAGATACCCTAAACCCTAAACCCTAAAACCCTAAACCCCTAAACCTTAACCCCCAAGCCCCTAAACCCCCAAACCCTAAAACCCCTAAACCCTAAACAATTAGAATAACTACTACCCTAAACCCTATACTTCTAATCAGGAGCCCCCGAACTGTGCTCTGAACCCTGAACTGCGCTTTTAAGGCCCCAAAATAGTATAGGTAATAGTATATTATACTATAATTACCCTAAACCCTAAACGGCTAAACCCTGTGCTTTTTAAGGCATACTTCTACCCTAAACCCCCAAACCCCTAAACCCTAGACCCCTAAACCTTAGACCTTAAACCCTACGTAAACCCTGAACCCTGAACTGTGCTGCTGTTCAAGGCTAATCAGGAGCCCCCAAACCAAGGCATGACCCTAAACCCTAAACCCCTAAACCCTAAAATATTATAAGGGCCAAGAAACCAAGAGCCTGAAGGCTGTTGAAGGCCTAACCCCTAAACCCCGATAAACCATAATAAGAATGGGAAAAGACCAAAGAAACATAAACCCTATAAACCCCATAAACCCTATAATCCCTGCTATAAACCCCTATAAACCCCTCAACTGTGCTTTTCAAGGCATGACCCGCGGGCTCGCCACGGATGCCAAGGCCTTGGCCGCCTCCATCGCGGCCGCTGGGACCCACAGGGGCAAATGGGAGTTTCCCCATAGTAAAAGGGTACCTTATTTTTGGGTTTAGGGTTTAGGGTGTAATTACCTTATTTTGGGTTTAGGGTTTAGGGTTATATGGGACTTTCCGAAAGTTTGGGGTACCTTCTTGTGGGGTCCTTATAAGAAGGATCCCACTATTTGGGGTACTATATTAGGGACCCGAGAGCACAGGATGTCAGAAGTGGCATTCTCTCTTTGTTTAGGGAGTTTAGGGGTTTGGGGTTTAGGGGGGTTTAGGGGTTTGGGGTTTAGGGTTTAGGGGTCTAGGTGGTCTAGGGGTTTGGGGTATCTGCACGAAGTACCAAATGCCACCAGGCTGATACTGCCGTGATGTTCGTCACAGCTTGGTGCTTATGTTTTTTGTTAGCTGCAAGACTGGAGACTTGGTAAGATGTTCCGAGTACCGCGAGATGTTTTTTTTGCAATGTTAAGAAGGAGAATTATTGCCAGCTGTTCATTCCGAGAGCTTCCTCCTAGCCCCAATCGTGGGATCAGCGAGCAGCTGCACGGAGCTGCGAAGCTCAGCACCTCGAACTCCAGCCGCTGCGTCAAAGCTCCGCTTAACCAACAGATGCAAGTCTGGTCCGGTCTCCATAGCCTCGATGTTTCGAGGTGCAAGGCTCGTCTAGAGCTCGCGTAGCGTTTTTGTTGATAGGTGTTGTGGAGGCTGACTCCTAGACGGTTGTTGATTCTTGGGAGCAAGGATGACAGCATCATCACCACCCTTGGCCTACGCCCTGCCTTGGCACTTGTCGGGTCCTGGCTGCGTGGCCATGAGCGGGAGCTTACAAGCTTTTGCTGTCGGTTTGCTCTATGACCTCGCCCATTATTATTAGTAGGGCTTCGCCAGTCTGGCTAGAAGGGCTGCGGGTTCCGATTCAGCTCCAGTCTCTGCTGCTTAGTCAGTTTAGTCTGGCATCCAGGCGTACGGCGCTCATCGCTGAACAGTACAAGCGGAACATCCGCCTTGACAAGCCCCGTGCTGTACATCCGCAACCCCAACAAGGCCCCCACAGGACCCTCTAAGACCAAGGCGCAGGCCGACAAAAAAAGACGTGCGCAAATGAGGTTCATGCAGCACATGACCTTCCTGATGCAGCCCTTCGTGGCGCTGGCATCTGAGTGGAACATCACGGGCCTGCACTTTACAATGGATCTCATGGAGGCAGCGTGCGGATCTCCTCCACTTCTGTCCCAACTTCTGACAAAAGGCACCCAAAAGCACCGAAAGAAGTCCGCAAGCAGTGTTGGACTAAATGGTTCCAAGGACTCCCCGAAGGAACCCTGCGTCTGAAACTCTGAAGGGCGACTTCACGTCAATCTCCGACATCCCAGCCTGGGCCGGCGTGCGGCCGTCGGAAATCCCAGCTCGAGTGCGCCACTGGGCTGCAGATATGACACGCATTCACAGGGCCTATGCTCCTTCATCTTCGACGTCGCACAGGCAAATCTTCCGTGAAACTTTAATTGCAGACACCGCAAACACTGAGCCAAACCCACAGCATCCAGATACTTTCTTTCAGGGACGATGTGCCTGCCTCAACTCACATGCGAGGCTTCATCGGACCTCTCTACGCCAAGCTGAAGAAGGAGGTGCCACCTGAAGTCTTCGCGCTGCGAGAGCAGGCGAGCAAGCCAAGGACTCAATTTAGAAGCTTTGGAGATTTCTTGGGTTTGCAAAGAGCCCTGAAATATCCATGATAGCAGCGGCGGATCATCTTGGCGCCCTTAAGGCCGAGGGTTTACGTCTACCTGCAAGCCGGAAGATGGCCAAGATGCCCGAACTGCGGCAAAGTCAGAAAGTCCTGATACTAGTAGTGGGCCACATCAAATCACCAACCTCCCAGACCCTCCATCTACCCTCGCTTAGACCCTAAGTACCCCCCCCCCTTTTTTCTGACCCATCTACCCCCTATTTGAGGTACAAGGAGGCGGGGGTCCTGGCTGTTTTGTTTCATTCGTCCATAAACCCTAAACCCTAAAACCCTAAACCCCTAAACCCTAAGCCCTGCTCCGACGTCCATTGCAGAGGCAACCCGCGATGGGCAGCCCCTCCTTTGGTTCGCCATGGGCTCCTCAGGCCAGGGGCTTTGGAGGTACTCGGAGTTTGAGCTGCTGGGTTTTGGTTTGTGTTGGCATTTGTACTTTCTTCAGTTACAATTAAAAGGGGCTATAGTAAATGATAGGGTTTCCTTATTGGTATAGCGGTATAGTAACTTAAATGAAACCCCTGAACAAGAACCCAGTCTGTTGGACGAAAACTTCGCAGTTGTAAAGAGTTAGGGTCCAACTTGTTTTAGGCTGAGGAATTCGGGCCGCTTGGTTTGGGGGCTGTTCGGACGGTCTGCTGTATCTTTGGACGTAGGCCCCGAGGAGCCCCGGAGGATTGAAAGATAACGTCGGTGATTCCAGGCGCTGCCATCGAACCCTCATTCGCCACACCGCTATCGAACATTTGCTTATCATGTCCTTGCATCCTGAAAGCCGGTGGCGTCATCGTCCCGCCTTCCAAGTTTCATCATCCCCCCGTTTGGGCTTCAGCACTTCGAGATCCTCGCCTCATGCTCAAAGCCGCAGTTTGCCGTCAGGGCAGCCGCCTCTGGTCCTAGCCATTTTGAAGGCGAGGCCCTCTTCAACAGTGCGGCGGGCCCCTGCTGTGCAAAGGTTTAGGGTTTAGGGTCTACTTGCCAAAAGGAGCTTACTAAGAAGATCTGTTTTCCAGCTGCATGATGAAAAGCCTGTGTTTGATCAGCCTGAGTTTGACGGATGTTTTGCCATCAACCCTGGCAGAAGCCCTGTGGGTGGTGCTCTCCTGCTATGCCGCCGCCTCCATGAGCAACACACACTGTCTCAAGAGCCTTGCGGTTGATGATATAAATCCTGTATTACCCGTAATAAGGAACATACCATAATTCCCATGGTTTAGGGTCCTTAAGGTAATGCAGGTTTTGTATCATCAACAGTATGAACAAGCCTGCTGAGAGACCAACCAGTTTAACAGAGTTTAACCATGACCTGTGTCCGAACAGATGGCCTAGAGGGACCGCATCCAGGAGCAACACACACTGAGAAACCCCATGAGCATACATGCTGTGAGACCCAAACAATGACCTGTCCGAACGGGTGGTCTGTTTCCAACCTGGATCTAAATGGATCGAACCGTGCCACTCAACAGGAGCTGGCAGGAATGAGAGCCTGGGATACCCCAACGCCGGAAAACCGGTGCAGAGATGAACCCTGCAACCTGGAACACACTTGCGCAATCCGCAGCCTCCAACCTGCAGTCATGTCTGGACACAGCCAAGCTCTCGGGATCGTTGATGCCAATAGAAAATCACGCAACGCAATCCCAGCAAGCTGCATCGAAGCGCATGAAAGCTCCTCTTTGCAGGGCATTTTACTGCGATCAGCAAATGTCTTCGTTGGCACAGGAGTTGCTGATTGAAGCTGCGCCCCCTTTTTTTCCAACATCTCAATCATGCCCTCAGCAACAGGGTTGCACACACGCGCGCGCGCACACACACACACACACACCCGCGCGCGCAGCAGCAGCAAAAGCAAAGACGCCTCCCCCGCACCAACAGCAAAGAAACACCCCTCTCCCCCCTCCACGGTGCAGGAACATGGAGCAACACACCCCCCAGCAGCAGCGGGACCAACAAAAAACAGCAACAGCAAAGGAACACTCTTACCGTCAAACCAATCTGCTACAAGCTTCGGGGGTCACAGCTTCCAGCTGCGCGCCCAGCCCTGTTATAGCTAGAAATATACATGTGCTGAGCCTATTTGGAGGAATTGGTGCGCAAGCACCCGAGCTGGTACATTGTGGCCCCTGTGCACACGCTCTTGAAGAAGGCCCCGCCCCCTTTTTGGCTTCCTGGGAACGCTGTCTCGGTCGGAGCAGTGAGGCGATGTGTCGATGCCTTGGTTGCCACCCCAAGAAGCTTTGTGGACTGCCTCGGGCAGCCGTTCTTCCACGAAGTGAGTGTTAAGAATCTTGAGAGAGGGACCTATTTTCAGACGATAAGGGGGGAGTGTCCTTCGCAGGCGGGCGTGGACACCACGAAGGCAGAGGACCGTACCTGAAAGCACGTCGCTTGTGCCGCCCCGTCTTGCACCCTGCCTTCTTTCCGGAACAAGGATGGAATACCCACAAGCCTCTGACACGCGGCGACCGCATATAATTATTTTATATTGTATGATATTATATTACATTATATCATATTATATTATATTACTTGATAGTATATTATATTATGTTTTACATTATATTACATTTTGTCTTATATTATATTATGTTATATTTTATTCTATTATATTATATTATATTTTCTATATTATATTGTATCATATTGTATTATATCATTTTAAATTATATTATATTATATTATATTGTATTGTATTATATTATATTATGTTATATTATATTATACATTATCTATTATCTGTTATATATTATCCATTATATATTATATATTATATATTATATATTATATATTATATATTATATATTATATATTATATATTATATACTGTATATGTATGTGTATATATATATGTATTAATTCTAGATGCCCTACGAAGGCTCCGAAAATTACGGACTCGAGGACCTAGCCTCTGCTGGCCTCGCATCCGAGCGCCTCTTCCTTCCTACGGAGCTCCTGGCGGCGCAGAAGGCGGGGAGCCCTTGAGTTTTGCGGAGCAGCTTGCCACGGATTCAGGCAACGTCCATTCCATGGCAGGTTGAGCCCCTTTGCGACGTGGCCTTTACTCACGGCGGGCAGGGTGTCTTGGCACCGAGTGCTTCCTTTAAAAATGCTTCGACCACAGACCGTGGCGGCACATGCAAAGCATTCCAACGCCAAGCGCAGTGACACCTAGCGACAGAAACAGACGGACGGACGGACGCAGGAAGGATAGACAGACAGACAGAGACAGTCGGAGAGGCACGGACGGAAAGAGAGGGAGAGAGAAAGAGAGATGGAGGGACCGAAGCACCGAGGCACAGAAACAGACTCAGAACCCGCACTTGAGGCCCAGCTCAGCTATTTCCTGTTGTATTGCAAGCTCCTACAAGAGGCACGGTGCAGACGAGCATGTGCTCTGGCGTGCCCTTTCTGGGTGTCGGCATGATGCCGGAGCAGGACCAGCAATCCTGAACCCAGAAGCCATGCACTCTGTGTGGGTAGTTTTCTAAATTAGGGTCCCTTTTCTTTTTAGGTCCCCAGTATAGTACGGCACCCTAAGAAAAGGGACCCCAAAAGGGACCCTACTTTAGAGAACTACCCGTGTGTTTCGGTGTGTTATCGTGCCGGCTCGGCAGAATGCCGACGCCAATCTTGTCGACCGTGGAAGACAGGACATCAATGTGCGCCTTGCCGTTGACAAGGGCGTGGCAAAGCAGGCACGTCCCGCTGTGGGGAGTGGCGTTAGGGGGTGCTGGCGTCTGTTTTGGACCACGGTCTACGCAAGCTGTTTTGGGAATTTGACTAGCTTGTAATCGTAGAGCCCAACAACACCGGGCTTGCGACGTGTTGATCTTGTCAGGACTTGGTATGATATACAATCAGGTAGCTGGCTGGATTTGGAATTGAAGCATGCACGGAAGTTTACCGTTCTGTCAGCTGATGTCGGAGTGCCCATCACTCCGTTATATTATATTATATCATAATATATTTTATTATATTATATTATATTCTATTCTATTCTATTATATTCTATTCTATTTTAGTGCCCACTGGGACGTTTGGCTTGAGACCCTGACCCTGCAGACATGATCTCCCGCGAGCCAAGAGTCGAAGAGCGCGTAGGATGTCGAGGCCGAAGCTCCAAGGCCTGCCTTCGTATGGGGGGCCTTAAAAAAGAATACCAAGACTCTTTTGGGGGGTTTAGGGATTTAGGGTTTTAGGGTTTAGGGTTTAGGGTTTAGGGGGGGGTCCTAAAAAAGAATACCAAGACTATTTTGGGGGGTTCCTTATTATAAGTATAGTATAATGGGCCCCAACACCCTATTCTACTTATAGAGGCCCCTGTAGTACCAGAGTCCCAAGCACCGTGAAAGACCAGGGGCCAACGATACAAACACTGGGTTTTAGAGTACCATACTTGAACACTTCTTTTTGGACCTGTTCCTTACAGGAACCATTATAAATTAAAAGTCTATACTTTTTTCTCCCTGGTTTCAAAGTCCAGTAACAGATCACAGGGCACATTCATGCTCCTGAAGTCAAGAAAGACCGACACCTGTGTCTCCTCATCCCTGCTAGAAACAGAGACCGCACACGTCAGGAGAGATTTCTAGTCCTCTATACTTCACTCCCAAACTCATATGGGTAGTTCTCTAAAGTAAGGTTCCGTTTTAAGCTCTTTTTTTATAAGATTATAAGGGTGCCGTACTATATTGGGAACCGAAAAAGGGGCCCTAATTTAGAGAACTACCCATATGTTCCCCACGGTGATCGAAAGGCCAATCATATGGGCAGTTCTCTAAATTAGGGCCCCCTTTTAGATCCCAAATTGTGGTTTAGAGAACTTCCCATATAGCCCAGATGTTCCCCTAAACCCCAAAAGCCCTAAATCCCTAAACCCTAAACCCAAAACCCCATACACAGCCCTCCCAGAGCCCCTTCATGGAAGAAACCCTCACAGGATCCCTTAAAAAGGAGCCCTTCTAGGGTGTAGGGTTTACCTGTAGCCCTTAAGAACCTCCTTTTACGGTTCCTTACTTGCTTTTCCCCTTCCCCTTTGGCTCCGTTGGCTCCTTGCCGGCTGGCGATGTTTGGCAATGCAAGTTTGGTTCCAACAGGCCGTGAAACTAGAATGATAGCTGATAGATGCCTGGATGCAGGGTATGCTGCCATCCCCAGTGCGTGGCACCACCCAGCACAAATAAAACCCAAAACCCTTAAACCCCTAAAGCCCTAAAGCCGTAAAACCCCCTAAAAACCCGAAAACCCCCAAAGCCCTAAAAACCCAAAAAGGCCTAAAACCCTAAAGCAAGGCCTCGAAGTTCCAGACGCCCGCGGAGATCGTCCGGCTCCTCCAGGAAGCTCGGAGCCGAGGGGCAGGGCCTCGGTTTCCCCCCCTACAAATACTGCCAAAAAAATAAGGAATTAAATAGGGATCCTTGAAGGGATCTATAAGGGTCTCTATAAGGCTTAAATAATGGTATATATATATATACCCCTTAAACTAGGGTTTAGGGTTTAGGAAATAAGGAATATGCCTCGGCCCCCCCTTTTGGTTGGCGAAGAGGGCAGCGAAAAAGGGAAAGAAAAGAGTTTCGAGGGTTTTATATGGTTTCGAGGCTTTAGAGGGTTTCTAGGGTTTATGGGGGTTTAATAGTGTTTAGGGCTTTTTTGAGGGTTTAGAGGTCGAAGTCCTCTAGAAGCGCAAGTGTTTTGGGCGCTTTGGGGCCGAGGTCGCAAGCTCCGAGGCGATGCGCGAGCGAGCCGCCGCTGTGAAGGAGGAAGAGATCCGGTATGGGTAGAGCTTTAAATAAGGGAATTATACTTTAAAATATAGGGGCCTTAGTATTATGATTTAAGGTATATTCCTTTATTTAGGTGTATTGAGCTCTTTGGGTGGGTAGTTGTCTAAATTAGGGTCCCTTTTAGGGTCCTTGGTATGGGGGTGCCGTACTATTTTGGGGACCTAGAAAGGGACCCTAACCTACAGAAATACCCGTATGGTCTTCAGCTTCTTGAGCTTTGCACTTTGGCTTCCACAGGCTACGGTGCAGGCTTGAGGCAGCCTCGGGCGGCAATGTCTCAGGGCAGATGCCAGACAAAGCGTTTTCTGTTGAAGAGCCCCTGCAGGAGTGCCGGAAGTTCTCTGGCGAGCTGCTTGCCATTAATGTTGACCACTTCTTCGGGCAAGGTGAAGCCCAACCGTCCCTGTTGCCCCAGTTGCAAGGAGTGCAATAGTTTTTGAAGCTGATTCCCAAAAGTCCTGCCAACTTCTCTCAGAACTTTCTGCATCCCCGCTTTGCCGCTCAGGCATGCTTTCGTTGAGTTCATTCGTGAGAAGGCCCTCATGCCGGCTTGAGTGCGTCACACAATGCCGCCGCTAGCCCTTTGCGACTTGTGAAGGAGCAGGGCTCCCTTTCATATCCATGCTTCAATCCCAGAAGTGTAGACCGACACCATTTCCCTGGACGCCACTGAGAAGATTGAAGCAAGTCGGGCCTCGAATTTGCCTTCGGGCTGGGCATGCTGCTAGCAAGCACGCATATCTTTCGAGCCTTTGCCTGGCAAAGCGTTAAGAACCAGGGGTGCTGTGTCCCGATCCCTGCCGGAAGACTTGATGTGGCCCGAATGCACACAGGAGTTTCCGTAAATAAGGGGGTACCTTAATTTGGTGTCCTTATAATAAGGATCCTACTATTTACTGTACTGTATTAGGGTCGCCTAGTTTCGGAAACCCCCACATCATCTTGGGGCTCTCTCGTCCGGACCTTTCTGCTGCGCTTTTGCGGCGATCCTGCGCATGCCGTTGGCTGGATGCTTCAGCAAGTTCGGGACTGAGTCCATGTTTCAAAGACGCAATCTCTCTCTCTCTAGAGTCCCAAACTCGATAGACTGCATCGCTTCACGACAACTCCTGCAAGACCACCTATGGTCATGTGGTCCCCCTGGTCTAAGGGAGGATCACTAACGATCCACTTTATGCACTGCGTGCAAAGTCCTGGGATCCTTCGCCGCTATGGGGGGGGCCTTTTGCTGGCGCTGAAGCATCCGCGTCTGTCCAACATGCCTGCCCGGGGCTTTTGCGAAAGCAGCAGAAGCCACTGATGAAGTTTTGGGGTGGGTTCAAGCACTGGCATAACGAATCTACTGATGTGTACCATCATCCATTTGCTCAAGCCTCCTTCTTCTATATCCAAGCTAGCAGAAAGCCTCTCATCTGTACTAAATAATAGAGCAGCAGCGTGACTTCAGCTTCAACTCCTGCTTCGGACACGCCCTTCGAGCTTTCCAATAGCGGTGCTCATGCTCAAGAATCCACCTCAGGGTTCAAACGATGCAGAGAGGAGCAAGTTTAGAGCAGCATGGCCGGGGCGGCGGAGTGGAAAAAGCCTGCAGGCCTACGTGCAGCAAAGGACAATATTCTGTGCCGCTTATGCACTGTCTTCTGTCCTGTCTACGCTTGTTTCGTTCCGTCAGGGTTTGTGATCGACTAAGCAACGATCAGCACGATGACGATGTCATGTGATTTGGTTGACACATCAAGCACAGTCTTGTTCTGGTTCGAATTCAGTTGTGAGGAAGAGGCGAAGATGACAGATGCCATGAATGCTCGCTGAAGTGGACATCGGAACTTGACATGACATGGGCTTCCCTGACTCGGCCACAGGTGCTTGGACAACATCAAGACTGGCAAGATCGTGGGGGCCATCGCCTTGATCACCTTCTGCCGTAGGCCCTTAGGCATGTAAGAAAGCAGACAACGAATGTTCCAGTGGCTGACAGCCGCGTCTGTCGCCGGAATTGATCTTCAGATGGAACTGTTGACATCGCTGTCTCCTTCGGAGAGAGATGACTTTGCTAAAAAACGGGGGCATGTCATTCGCCTGGCATCGACGACAAGCCGAGGTGTGAGGTACGAGACGGACACAAGAGTCGAAGCTTCGATATTCGCGCACGTTGTATCTCGAAGGAGCCCACCTCCGCAGAGCGTGCTACCCAGGCGCTGAACCAGAGCACGGGTGCTGCTTTCCCTTGGTGGCACCCTCAGTGACGGCAATGGGGAAAGGGGGGGGAGGGAGAGCTGACGGATTTCTGGCTCCAGGCTCTACCCCGTTGTTCAGATTGCATTCCTGCCAATGGCGGTGCGGCTGCTGTAGCAGGGTCCAGGCAGACTCGCTTTGCAGAGAAGAGGAATGTTGACAGCTTTATTTTTCTGACCCGACATTAGGCAAGGGCCTCGCATTCTCTTGACAGAAAGGACTCGTACATGAACTTGAGAGGGCAAGCACAATTCCGGAAAAAAGGCGGAAAGCCCAGAGATCCGCTCTCCGGGTGCCTCTTCATCCGATCCGGCACAGTCCTTGACTCTAGGACATTTTCAGGTGGATAGTTACCGTTATAGGAGCCTTATAGAACGTCTATATACCTTATAGAAGCCTTATAGAAGCCCTATATACCCTAAACTCCCCACCTGTAGTTTCTTTTAACATCAAGGGAAAAGCACGGGCACTGAGGTGGGCCTGGCTCTTCATCGGCCTGC